AACATAAAAAACCCCAAAGTTTCTTTTTGTTTTTAATAGGTCTCTTACTTTGCTCATCATCTTAAAGCCTGTGTGCAGTATCTTCTTGGCTAGCTTGTAGTAAACAGTATCTGGTCTGTTGTACGTCATTGCATTATCACACATCAGTTTAAAATCTGCCTGTAAAATACAAAACAAAAGAACTGTAAACATTTCAGGTTCTTTGTTAAATGACTGCAAGATACCACTCCATCTTGACAGCTCTTTGAAGAACCCAGTAATATTCTAGCAGTAGGCTCATGAACACAAGCCAAAAGCAGAATTGCAAAGGTTTGAGCCTCTTCTACCTCTCCAAGATGCTCAGTTTCCTTTGGAACTGGCTTTTGGTTATAAAAAACACTCTTTCCTGAAGGCCAAAGTAGTATCTTCTCCTTAACTTAAGTGGATGAAAAGGGCTAAACGGACCAAACACTGTACTGAGCTACCAAGGTAACTTTCTACAGCATTACAAGCCCTTTGCCCTCAATTACCAAGACCATCACAAAGACAGAAACTGAGAAGGTGACCGACCAAACTAAAGTGCTGCAGAAACAGCCAGTGTTTTGCTTGCCCAGCTTTGAAGCAGACCCTTTTTTTTCTGAAGCAAAATGAGTGCTCTGCAGTAATTGCCCCTCTTTTAAATGCAGGACAGTGCTTTCAGACTATTCTCTTAGACAGATTATTTATTCTTTTGTGACTAGCCTCAACAAGTTATGTCAGACAGGTAACTTTTGAGCAGACTTTGTTTCAGAAGTTAAAAACCTACAAACTTCATTTCTGTATTAAGGTTATGGCTTATAGTTCTGTGCAATTAGGTACCCTCATGTATCTATAAAGGGAGTCCAATTCCTTTTTTGCTCTAACATGGGCAGACTCTAAAGAATCTTTTATCACTCCTCCACCTACTAGCAGAAGCTAAATCCTTGAGGAAAGAACTAGTAAAAAATACTGCAATTTTTTTTTTTAGGTTTCTATCCCATTAGTTTCAATACTGCAACCTTGCCTGTAACTCAACAGTCACAGAGCTCCCACTCAAACTTCCTTTTTAAGCTGTTGAATAAGACAATCCAGCAAGACAGAATTTAGAAACCTTAAGGCATTGCTGATGGCAATGCTATCATGAATCCTTTCTCACTATTTCCTATAAATCTCTACAGCATATTTAACAAAACAGAGTAATAATCTTTGTCAAGGCATCTGTAAGAAATGTAAACCATTCTTTTCTCACCTTGCTGACCTTTCAAAAAAAGAGATCAACCCTGAGAAACAAGCCAATGCTCTCCTGCCGAGGTTACCATCATATCAACATCAGTCTAGGAAAAAGCAATTCCAAAAGCTGCTAATAATTCATGACTTTCATAAATCAGTTAAGGAAAACTCTCCTTCAGGAGCTAGCAATACTATGAAAACATTTCTTACAGCACTGTCTGTAAAACCATGATGTATCTAATTAATTATTACAGCAATAACAATACAATTAATAACCAAGTTAAGCTGCAAATAAACTTGACAAGTAAGTTTCTGCCAGAAGACAATTTCAAATGAAGTTATGCGAAAACCAGGATAATTAAAGATAAAAAATATGTACTTATTATTTACTCATATACAAGACGCTTCAGTATATCCACAGGTTTCTTACAGACAAGTCCAAATGACATTTATATCAATCTAACAAGGTCTACATTAAAAAACGGACAAAAAAAAGAGCTCAGGGGCTTAATTCTTTGTGCTAGTCTTACTCCTGTTGAAGTTTAGCAGCATAAATTCCACAGGACTTATGCTAGTAAGTAGTAGAATCTGACAGATAATTTGGAACAAACTGAATAGACAAAAGTGCTCAGTTCTGGAAAAAAATGAGCATTAATTAATGTAACAAAGACTTCCACACATGAAAAAAAAAATTTTAGTTTCTTACTAGTTGTGAAATATCTAAATCTTTATTAATTCACCTTGAATTCAGTGACTGATTTGTATTCATTCGCTGCAATTTTTTCCTTCATCGTACCAAAATCCATAGGGTGTTTTATTATCATGGAATATCCAGGAGCAATGGCATCCGTGACTGGAAAAGCAAAAAACCCATGAGGATCTTTCCTAAAAATAAAAACAATAAATTTAGATTTACAGCAGCAAACAAAATGATTCCTGCTTTTGCATCACATTTATAACACAACAGTACTACTAAAAAAAACCACAAAAAACATTCTCATAAAATAAATGCATGTTTGAAAATTTCCTGATAAAGGAGAGCACTCTGATTTCACATATGTAGACTTATTTCAAAAAGAAATTTTTGAAAATTTTCATTAAAATGTCTTTCAATTCAATGATCAAATGATCAATTCAAGCTAGTTCTTGTATTTCTTAATTCTTGTATGTTTTCTGTGTCTCTACACTCCAACTTTGTCTTTTGACTTCATTGAGGAAAAAAGCTCAATTCTTCTTGTTCACTATGTCCTCTAAAAATAAATACAATGTTCAACTTTTTAAAATTAGTTCCAAATTCAGCTTATTGCTACAAAATAAAAAAGGATTTTTTTTTAAACATGAGCTGCAGGTTTAAGAAAAAAATAAAATAAAAAGCCTCTCCCAATTTAGAAGATTATCAAGTAACCAGGTCTAAATTTGCTTTGTATCTGACAGTGGACACTGAATAAAACAAAATTTAAGTAAAAGAGTCCAATCTTCTAAAGTATTGTAGAGTTATAACTGGCTTTTAATCCCTAAACTAAGTCATTAATATTTAATAAATTTATAATAGCAATGTATAATCTGCCCAAAACACTTATTTTCCTGCCCAGTGCTAGAACTGCAAACTAGATAATAATTATCCTCAACTTATCTTTAAAAACAACCAGGTCTGACATGGTTGCAAAGGTTAACAAATCTCTTAGTCAGTCGCCAGGCACTACTCTCAAACAGAATACCAGGATATGAAGTTGCCAGGTAACACATATAGATACGCATCAGACACAGCCAACACAGCTGAAGATACAAAAACGTTTACTACCTTTGAAGCTGGCGAAGGAAGTGTTCCAGTAATTGCTGGATTGGTGTGCTCTCATTTTCAGCTGCATTTTGAGATGAAAACCCCGATAAGTGCAATGAAACCACATATGCGTATATTTTTTAATTTAAAAATATAAGTACCAGAGAGAAAATCTTACTATAAATACAGCTTGTACTGATCTGAAGCTGATGTATGAACATGGATTTCAAAGCAGAAGCACATCAGATATCTAAGCACACAGTACCTATTTCTTCTTCCTTTATTTTCTGGGCTTTTTTTCTTATCGCATTAAAGCCTAGTACCCATTAAGTCAGATGTAGTGCTAAGTTTAGCAGCTCTAAGAATATGTATCAATAAGATTAAAACAATTATGTTATATATTTTTGCAGAAAAAGTGAAACTTTGTTGCTCAAATACTGCAGTTGGGAAATCCATATTCTTACAACATGTTCGCTGTGCAATTTTCATGGTTTCTTCACCATAAACCCCATGCAATTCTCTAAACCTTTCAATCACAGAGTGACAAACAGATACAGATTTACTGGCAAGAGAGGTAACAATTACAATTTCACTTCCTGTACAGATCACACAAGAAACACTACATGTTAATTACCTGTTACTTCAGAGAGACTGGCTTTAAGTGATGTTTGAAACATTAATGAAGCATCAATAATTGAAAATCCAACTATCCATGATAGAGGAAAGACGTTTCCTTTCTTAAACAGAATGGGTCAGGTAATTTATATGCTTTCCAATACCATTTTACAACCAGATGAAAAGAGAATAATGGAAATAGTTTTTATCTTGTCAGTTTTTAAGGCTCCTGACTATTCAGAGACATAAAACTCTGACCTGAAAATTTCAGTTACCTTGACAGCTGATGGCCACTATTCCTCAATTTAATGTGTGGTCACAATTATAAAATTCCTTGGGATTACCTGACTAGTCAAAGGGCAGTATTCCAAAGACAAGACTCACAATATTCCTAAAGACACTACTTTTTTGCTACTAGGTCCCATTTTCAGACTTATGTATAACAGAGATCTTGATGTAATTGAAAATTCTCTCAAATAAAGGTTTCCACTGAGTAATGCTGAGTTTTAATTATCAAGCAATGGCTACAGGTAGAAAAAACAAGGCAAAATATAAAAGGATTAAACATGCAGAAGATGCACATACAACTGACAAATATTTTGGTTTGGTGATAAGAACTTAAGAAGATTTGTAAATGAAAAACAGGGGTGGTATGTGGTGTCTACAGTCTTTAGAGATACACTGTCACAACTTCCTTTCCATGAGAATAGAGATACTAAAACTCCACATAGGTTAGAAAACAAAAAAATATGGTAACACCTAAGAAGTCTCCATGAGAGTTTTTTCCCTTGAA